GTTCGGATTACATTTGCATGTCTATTCTTAGTTTGTGCTAGAGCCTTTTTATGAACCGTGGAATGCATTGCACTGTGTTGCCGCTATTGTTTCATAAAAAATGCTTATGTTGTTTCTTTGTTTTCTATTTTGAATCAACAAACGTATATTTACTTAATTGTTTATTTTTTTATGTAAACGATCGGCAAACGAGCAGACGGATTACCTGATGGTAAGCAATCAGCGCCGCCCATGGACACTCGCAACGGATGAGTTACGAGTGCGTTGCCGCCCTTTTAGGGATTAGGGATTTGGAGATTTAGGGATTGAGAAGGGATTGGGGGAGGGAAGGATTGGGCCTCTGGTAACCTCACTCACATGGCGAAACACAACGCTGTGGTTGTTTCACGCCGGTTTTCTGTGAGGCCGTGGTATCAATCCGGTCGAGCCGACCCATTCGTGCCGAAGCATGGCTCTCCCACACTTAAAATGCTTACCTAAGCTTCATAAAGGTTTCGTTTTAGAAGATCTCCTGGTTAAACTCTTGCTTTGATCGAAGTATATCTGGCAAGACACTATTAAGTCATTTTACTTTTTACGACATATAGAAATACAGCTTATTTTCCCAAGTCAAGTCAACTCTACAAAATATTACCAACAGCGGCGTAACAACAAAAAAAAACTTAAATCGAAGCCTACATTTCTTGCTCCCAACTCAGAGACCTTGTTAAATCATTTATCATTCGTTTTACATACCAGCCAGTTTCACGGCCCTTCGCCTGGTATCGACCAGCCACGCCCACCGCTCGCCAGCCACCCCCTACACCCCTCACCGATCCTCCCTCCTCCTCCCGGGGAGAGATTCCCCGCGCGGATTCCAATCGAATGATTAAACGATAGTTGCGGTAAAGATTGATAATGTCACGGGCAATCAGACTGTGTTATCAGTCAGCCAGGATTGGTTCCCGGGGCCTGGGACTCGGAGACTGAAATAGATAGTTACTGAGCTCCGTTTTTAATATAGTAGTTGTATCTTTCAGTTCTTTGTAAGAAGGTATTTTATTATTTTAGTTTTGTATCTATTTAAAGTTATTTAAATCCCTTAAAGTAAATATTCTTGTTTCCTATTTTTACTATATTTTTCTAAGGTTATTCTAGTTTTAGCAATTCATTTTTAAAGAAATGTCCTTGCTCAAGCCTTTCAGAATTAAACTATAGCTTTTATTTTTGTCTTGCAAAACCTAATAAATGTTGTTACCATGTATCGACAGATGGCGCGATGTGTCGCTACGTACGCTCTTACATAGCACTAACATGAATCCTTTAAAAAAAATACAGTATACTTTTTGTTGACTGGTTCTGGAGTTTGAAATTGGCCATAAGTAAATCTATTAAGTTCTTCGATTTGAATATTGTGGAATGCAAGAAAGCACTCCCGCATCCCTCCCCCCGCCCCTCTGTTTATCCCTTCGGCAAATAACAAGCGTGAAGAAAGAGAAGCTACTTATCTAACTTTATACAACTAATAGTGAATCATAACTTTCTGAAACGCAAGTTTAAACCATATTTTTTATAGGATAGCGTGGCAAACAAGGATTGAAATTGCTTAATCAAGAATATGCAATCCGTGCCGCCCATGTGCACCCGCAACACCACCATACGAGCTACAAGTGTGACCTTTTGGGTATTCGGGAATTGGGGATGAAATAAAGCGATTGTTTGAGCGATTGATTGATTGAAAAAGAATAACCATGTAGTTGCTCGTTCTTCTCCATTTGAATCTACACTTTGGAAGGAGCAAATAGCTTTACTAAACAACAGACCGACAGACTAACACATAAGGTTAATTTTAAGTTAAGATATTGGTTTTTTTGTTGGACATACAAAAGTGCATATAGTGTTGATTGTAGTAATGATTTGATTTTGACTTTTGTGAGGCCGTAGCCAACGTCACTACGATTGAGCTGGCCCATTCATGGCTTTTACGACAACCACGGGCCGATAGGTGGTGTCAAATATAATTATATATATTATGCCACAAGATAAGATACTAGCGACGCGCCCCGGCTTCGCAAGTGTGCAATGCTTATACTAAATGTCTCCACTATTTAATGAATATTACTATAGGTATATATAAACTTTCCTCTTCAATCACTCTATCTACAAAAAATCGCATAAATATCCGTTACATAGTTTTAAAGATTTAAGCTTACATAGGGATATAGGGACAGAGAAAGCGACTTTGTTTAATACTATGTAATTATTATAAACAAAAAGCCCACAATCCTTATGCAACGCTGACTGAGCGAACACAACACATTAAGTAATTAATAACAAATTAGTTAATTAAACACGGACTTCTTTTGCTGCAACTAATTTACCGCACGGAATGTAAATTTTATGCTACTAAATGTTTTTAATAAAGTTTAACAAACTAAGAAAATGAATTTTTGATTTAATGTGCATGATGTATGACAATCCATACCTACATTAAAATTATTAATAGTGGGTGTTATCTTATTGGGTCCCGTCATCGTGGCTTGAAAGTTTAGCCACCCACCTATCCATGAGGGTTTTATCATCATCATCATCATCATCAGCCTATAAGTGCCCACTGCTGAGCAAAGGCATCTTCTCATACGGAGAAGGTTAGAGGATTAATCACCACACTTGCTCAATGCGGGTTGACGATTTCAAACTTATAATTAGAAATTATAAGTCCAGGTTTCCTCACGATGTTTACCTTCAACGTGTCAGTGGTGTCTAAATAATCATAGAAAGTACATATAACTCGGAAAAAGTCACATTGCTACTTGCCAGGTTTCGAACCCACACCCTCGTGCATGAGAAGCGGACTCCTTTACTTCTTTCGAGTTATTTGAACTTTCTAAAATTATCACTATCAATATCACTGATATTCTGTCAAGAAAAACATCATAAGGAAACACTGTCTAAAATAGTCTTATTATAAGTTTGAAGTCACCAACCCGCCATAGGTAAATAAGATTAATGCTGAAACCTTCTCCGTGCGAGAAGAGGTCTTTGCTTCTCAGTGGGCACATGTAGGCTTACAGCCTTACAGGTGATGATGCATATATCAAGATCAAAATTAAAATTGTAACCAAAAAAGATAAAGACACGATACAATATTATTGTATGTTTTATATGTAAAACTAGTAAATATTAATTAGCACTTGAAAACATATATATGTAAATATTGCTTACTTTCTAAGTTTTGCAAAATGTTTAGTATTTTTGAAATTATATTATTACGTTAGTACACAAGTATGCTTTTAATGACGTGTTATATAATTGTTTATCATTTACATAACATAACACACATTGTAGTTACCTTCATCTGCTAGGCTAATGGTTTTTGGAAGATTGTTATTTTGTAAATGAGTTGCTTTTGTGACAGAAATTAAAAAGTTATGATAGTGAAATATAATAAGGAAATTTAGCATGGAGACTTTTAAGTACTAGGTAGATCTTACAGCATGTTACCAAATGGGGAAAGATGACTTCGTTCATAATAGATTTTCGATCACTTTTTTGAGGTGTGTCTGATTCTAACTGCTTAAATTCTAACCCGTTCCTTCTCCTGGACCGGGCTAGAACCGCTGTACGTTAATGAGCTAGGACCCGCTACCCGGCAGTTATTTTGATATGCTGATAGCGTTTTTATACTATAACACCCAGACTCGGAACAACAATTAGTGGTTCACACAAAGAGTTGATCCCTGCGGGAATCGAACCCGCAACACGTTGCGCCGCAGCCATTTGCCTAGCCACCTGCGCCAACCTTGCAGTCATAATTATGTAGTATAGAAACCCTTTAAGTTCTAGGTAGAACTTACATCATCTTACAAAGTGGAAAAAAAAGGTTGTTCCTAATTCATGTAAAGAGAAAGAGATTGTCAGACTCTTACGGACTAAAAAGCACCCTGTTCCTTCTCCCGCTTAGAGCCGGACCCCGGGGTACGTTAATGATTCTTGCACCCACAACCCAATGGGACGCTGGTAACTACAAAACCAAGGCCACCTGACAGATGTATCCTCGGAACACCGTCATCAATAGACATTTTTACAAGTGCTTTTCCCTTCAACGTCGACCTTCTTAGACTTTATATTTTTTAGACTGTATATTTCTATCTAAAAATGATTATGTCAGAAATAAACCAGCTTTTTTTTAAGAATATAGAGAGATATGTACTGGGTATTTCACTACATTGTACTCATAGAATCTCTTTAAACATTAAAATATTATGTATCCGGTCGTCATGGAAACGTACTGCTCAACTTAAATCCTAAAGGTCACCTTTTCTAGTCAAAAAAAGGTTATTCGAAATTGCAATTGACCTCAATGAAATGTGAGGTCCACCATATTGGATCGATATTGTAATAAATAATGGCTTCCTTATAGATCGCGCCGCGGGCGCAGTAAGCCGGAGCTATGGTATGCGCATGCGTCGGTCGACAATTTGCCATAACGCGACTGAAGTAATTATGTTAAGTGATTTATATGCACAAGTACTGTGACTTTGCTTGGGTAGTAACTTGATTTATTTTTCTTATGGCTGCGACTGGTGAATGAATCTTATAAAAGATTATGAATGATTGGGATTTCGGTGTATGGAAATATAGGGTTTAGAGTTTTTTTATGGATGACGTCGGTAAACGAGCTGACGTTTAACCGGATGGTAAGAAATTGTCGGATGGAAAGTGTGGGACAGCCATGTAAGTGTGGGAGAGCCATGCTTCGGCACGAATGGGTTGGCTCAATCGGGGTGATACCACGGCCTCACAGAAAACTGGCGTGAAACAACCACAGCGTTGTGTTTCGCCCAATCCTTTCCCTCCCTCAATCCCTAAATCTCCTAATCCCTTAAAGGTCAGCAACGCGCTAACGTAACGTCCGTAACGTCCGTAACTCCTCCGTTGTGAGTGTCCATGGGCGGCGCTGATTGCTTACCATCAGGTAATCCGTCAGCTCGTTTGCCGATCTATTACATAAAAAAAAATTAGCGCCGCTTATGGACATTCATAACTCGCGAAAGAGTTACAAGTTCTTGAGCTGTTGTGGGTTGTAAGGGGGCTGAAGACTGCGGATCTGGGGATAAGAATAGAATGACATTTAAATAACAAAACATAGATTTTGCTTAAAATTTGATCTCTAAAAAGTACTTATACTATGTGCACTGTGACACTGTAATAAAAGGCGCATTGTTATGTGCATTACAAAGAAGGTAGCTTTCACTCAAAATACTAAAATTGATAGTCCAAAAACAACATCATTTCGTCTTCACATAGCAGATTGCAATCAGTCGTGAACTTTAAACGGGATTACTTTAATTATAACTAACTGTACACCTCCTGCATACTAATGTATTCTTCTTGATGTGCTTATTAACAACAGGTGTGGAAAAGCGCCAAGTTCTTTATAAAAAAATTCTTCACAATTTAAGTATGGGAGCCATGCTCCGGCACGAATTGGTTGGCGCGACTGGAGTGATACCGCGGCCTCACAGAATACCGGCGTGAAACAACCACAGCGTTTTGTTTCGCTGTGTGAGTAACACAGGAAGCCCAATTCTTCCCCTCCCTAACTATTATAAAAAGTTCTCAAAAAGTTTAAGAACTTTTTAGAACAAAAAGACTGTATATAATAAATAATCAATAAATAAGTATTTAAATGGATAACAGAAATAATAGAATGAATTTTTAATATTGGCATACCTTTCCGTCAGGCTTAAATGTTTTATACATTTTATTACCGGTTTTTACAGCACTATCAATAATGCCACGTAAGAAACACGCAATACTCCCAATTTGTATGTATTAGGTCCAAAATCTCCATGCTTTATATCGTAGATACAATAGTTGGCTTAGGTCAGTGTCTATCAGTATGTTAATAGCATGCATAATATACCGACTTCGTATATTAACTTAATTGCTCACGCATAAAAATTATGGTAAATTAAGAAAGTTAATTCTAAACATTTAAATGAATGTTAAAAATATACCTAATGTATGTAAATCTGGTAAATGTGCGGCTACATAAGATTACACATTATTTAATTCCATTTGGGATGGATCTGAATATTCATGAAGCGCACACATAATAAAATGTTTTACTTTTTTAAATTCAAGTATCGTAAAATTTCTCTACTTTGTTGACCTAGCCGCTAAAATAATATGCGAAATTTGATCATGTGATTGGTAATGGCCAAAATATTCTAGATTTTAGAGAAATTAATGCAAATCAAATTTTAGTATGACACCAGACCACTAGATCGACAAGGCTATAAAATGAAAATAAAACCACAAAGCTAGCTAAATACTAACATTGATAAAAACTAAATAGATAAAAAACCAGCAATTACTAAGTAATGTGCAGGTTAGCAGACGGATGACCTCATAGTAAGCAATCATTGCCACCCATGGACACTTATAAAACTGGAGGAGTTGCAGGTGTATCATCAGCCTTTGGGAGACATGGAAATTGGGATATGGGATGGAGGAGGTAAACTTTGGAACCGCTGCTTTGATTTTCAAAATTCTTTAAATGATAGATAGCTTCGATGTTCCTGGGTGCTAAAGGTTACGTTTTATTCGTGCACGGAAAGTATATCGTGTACCTTGGGACGCGGGCGAGGCAGCTCGAAATAAGCGGTTACAAATAAAAAAAAAATTTAAATCTACAGAATAGTACCGAACTTGGCGGTTCTCTACCGTGCATCCAGCAACACGCTACAATAATTTACTCGTACAACATTACATGTTAATGAACTGCACTTGTAATCTTATTATTGGCTATAAACGCTTTTTCTTTGCCATTAACTCGACAACTTACGATCTCGATGACCTTATCTTATGATATTCGTCAAGTCTACACTTTTATATAAAAAATAAACGGGTACTGAGTCATCCGATAAATGTTTATGCTCATCCAGTAAAATTCTTCATTGATCCTTATTAATATGTAACTGGTTTACGTGTTAATATAACTTGGACGAAGTACGAATAAATAAATGATTTTGTTTTAAGTTCCCCATTTGTTAGAAATATTATAAAAAAACTTATATCTCAATCGAAAATTGAACGCGATGTCAGAAAACACAATGTCGCTTTAATGTTTGTAATTTATAATCTCCGAATCATTAGGCTGAGGACTATGCCAAAATAGGCAGATTTTGGAACTGTCGGATATCATAGAAGTTTTTAAAATCGAGTTTAAACAAAGAGCACTTTCGTTACCCAAAACGTTTGTTGGCAGAATGCCCGAACTGTGAAGGCCAGGGTTCATTAAAAATTACTATTTTATAAGGAAACTGTTTTCACGGAGCCTGCAAATTGTGTTCCTATATAACACGATTTTGCTCCACTCGGCTCTCAGCCAAGTTTTTCTGATAGCTTATGAGGATTTCAGCATTTTCGTGTTTTATTACCTATCTATTACGAATTTGTCAATTAATTAATAATCGAAGACAGGCTTATTAATTAAGTTACTGACCGCCAAAATATAGCTTTCGAGGGCAAATTCTCCGCCAGCGTAGCACACATGTTGTCCCACATGACGTAAAATGTGCGACAAAGATTAGGCAGTGGTACAGGTATACAATGAAATAAGCATAGGTGGTGAAAAAAAGTTTTAAAAGTAATGTTTGCGTCGCGTTGTCTAAAAGTCTTTAGGTAATCGGCACTCTTCCTCAAAGGGTGTTGGTGATTTGGAACTTACAATAAGAAATTAAAAGACCAGGTTTCATCAAATTGTTTTACTTAAATATCAGCTCAGTGATCTTTCAGCTAGGGTTGCAAGTCATTTCAACACTACCACCGCAAAAAGATCTCTCACTAATTTAGATACATCACATATTACCCAAAAATCTCATATTACCAGATTTTGAACCAACATCTTCATGCACTAGAAATGGATGCCTTAACCTCCGGGCCACCACGACATTATCGGCATTCTGCAATCGCTTTACTGACAAAGCAATCAATTCCGTTTATTTACTTAGTTCAATACTAACTTGCAATATTAATATTAACATAATTGACACATAGATCATCGGCTTCCGGAGCGTTAAACTTCAAGTAAGTACTTATAGTCAAATTGTCAAACACACAACTTACCTAACTGGCGTAGTCGGGTAGTGTGGGGTCATGTTGCATCATACGCTAATATTTACACATAGGAAAGTATACGTCTGCCATTACTATAAAACTATATTTTTGATTCTATTAAGCCTTATTTAAGACATATACTTTCCTTCAGACAGAATAGACTTCTTTGTTAATGTTAAGGACAACAATAAGTGTTGAAAAACGGAGTGATACCACGACCTCACAGATAAAATCGACGTGATACATCCACAGCGTTGTATTTCGCCGTCTGAATAAGGTCACTGGTGGTCTTAATCTTACCTTCCACCCATACCTGCTCAAGCCCTAGATTTCCAAACTCCCTAATCCCCAAAAGTAAGCAAGTAAGTAAGTAAGCAATTGTGTAGTTTCCTAGGTCAAAAATAAATAAATTTGACGTAAAATATTGTAAACGCCTAATGTAAAAATAACTATACTTTTATTAATCAATCGATCGATACACTAAGTTTCAGATTTTTTTTAGCTAATTATTAAGAAATAGGTAAGCTATTTGACGCAAAAATGTTATGACGTCATAACACAGTTTTTCATACAAATTTCATAGAAAGGTATCGCTTTTGACGTTTGGATAAATATATTAAATTTGACTAGGTGGAAACTACCGTATTCACTTGCTACTTCTTTGGTGTTAATGAGTGAATGATGTCACAACCACGTGATTAGGTTTATTAAAATGATCAAGATATAAAGCTATATAAAAGATATTTTTATCTCATACAAAATAATATTATAAATACTGAAGTAACTGTGTCTATCTGCCTATTTCTTCACGCCTGAACTACTGAGTTTATTTGCATGAATTTGGTACAGACATAGTTTGGAACTAGAGAAAAGACATAGGATAGTTTTTTAACCCAAAATCTGCAGGAAGTCACTATTCCACGCGAACGAAGTCGCGGGCTAAAGCTAGTTTAAAATAATTTATATTTAATTTAGTAGGAAAAGATCCGATTCTTTTAGTATTATAATTACTTGATAAAGTTATACAATATAAGTATTTAATATAAATTATTGGAATATTAAGGCAGAGGCTTTAAAATTCATTTGTTACATAATTACATATTTTCGATTGTGAATTTTTCAAAAAAAATTACGTTATGTTGTAGTGGTGATATTTGAAAGGTTCTCACGTAACGCAATTAGTACTTTATTATTAGGCTATTAAAATCCATTATATTTCATGACGTATCAAAAGAGTGATGACTCAAGCTGTGGTTTATATTATTATCATTGTTCAAATCTGTGTGAAATGTCTCTCGCGCATTGTTAAGTGTTAAAAAAAAATGACATTAGGAACCTCAATATCATTCGTTAGACACACGTTTGATGATAAACAAAAAAAATGACTATCAGTTCTTTTTATTAGCTATAGGAACCCTCAGATTGTACCCCTATTTACGTTCATAACGAAGTTTCAACATTCCTCTCGAAATAAAAATGCAGGTAGCATACAAACGGACAAAGATTACATCTATTATATAAGCAATCAAACGGTGTGATACCAGATAAATCCTTATTAGGTGAAAACATCCACAATGGCGTCACCTGATGAGCAAACATGCGGTAGGACACATTTCGTTCAATTCTACTTCGCTTGCTTCTTGCATCTACTACTGGATTTTCTGCATCGCCCAAAGGTTGACTGGTAGAGACTGCTCAATGCATTAAGTCCGCCTAATGTACAAATTGTGCATGAAGTATAAAATAAATAAATAAATAACTTGCCACATTTAAAAAAATAAAACGTTGCCCCGAAATAGGGTTTTTTTCCTATGTCTTAGGTGCGTTTACGCGCATACAATTTCACAAACATATCACATTCAGACCCGGATAAACTATTTGTGGATCACACAAAGAGTTTTTAGTGCGGGAATCGATCCCGCGACAGCCAGTTACCCAGCCACCGCGCCAACCGTGCAGTCTTTCCTTTACGAAGGTATACAATTTCCTTGTTTACTGTTAATTACGGAAACTAATGAAGATTGTATGTTAATAGTCTATGATTGTCCGAATGTTGGCAACTCGAGTGTTTGGGATTACGTCACTTATGTAACATATTATATGTTGGTATATGTTATAGTGAGTATTGTGTGTTTAAAGCAAGTTATACATATGCAAGTGCATTGGTCTATCAAAACAGCTGTAGCAAACAATGATAAGCTAATATGTTAGTTTATTTAGAAATCTTGTATAAATACTACATATATATAGGTAATTTATTTTATTAACTGTTTTTCATTCATTTCCCTAAGCTATTTTTTCACAGTTAACCTTGAGGTAATGCAGATTTATATCCTGGGTTTAAAATTCTATTTTTTATTATCTTGAGTATCAAAATTATTCAACTAGTTAGTAGATATATAACAAGCAAAGTCAAGGTACAGGTACTGGTAGTTCAGAAACTAAAAAGTTATGTTCTAGTACCAAACAGTCTTTAATTTTCATAAATTGAGCAATAAAATTAAACCTTTTTTTAGAGCTGCAAGCAAGCAAAATGCACTTTTAGAAAACAATTTTTTTTAGCGCATGAAACCTTCAATTATGTTAAAAATTATGGCATGTGCTATAAAACCAAGTTTGCTATTCCTGAACCAATATTTTCAGGTTTGTACAACACTGAAACAGGTGTAACATAGTTTACAGAACAGATGGCTCGTGTGCTCCAGTTTCAGCTGTAAATTTTGCCAACTTGCCTGAAGTTCAAGTTGTTGGGCAGTTGCCAACTTGCAGCTGTCTGACGCAGGCTCTACGTGTGCCCCGAAGCTGTAACTTGATGTTAAGTTATGCCAACTTACGGTTCTAAAATAAATCGATGAATTATCGAAGAACTCCAAGTTATTTTTAACGAGTGCAAAAGGATGGGTTTTTAATTGGAAGAAGGGATTTTTAAATAATAATAATCAATAAATAATATGATTGTCAGAAATCGGCTGTTACCTAGGTAATTAAATAAATATTTTGTAATATAAAATTGCAAATAACTTAGGTAAATAAACATTTGTACATTGTCTACCAATTAATAAAACATTTATCTTCAATTCAAGAGGCGCCACTCGCCCTCCGGACTTCGCAATATGTGGTGATTATGGTGATTAATTCCGGACATGCGTAGACACACGCTGACGTTACATCACCGACCAATGGGGACATTCCGCTAAAACAACTGATTATGACATTACTCTTTTTCTATTTGTGTATTATGGAGTTATTAATTGCTTAAATGGTAGTTGTCGGGTCACGTGATTGATGGCCAGGTAATGATTAACTGCTATGCGGCCATTTTTGTTTTGTGATTGTGAAGAAGCTAGAGAAAGTAGGTGCTTTGTAAGTGCGTGCCTTTGTACCAAATATCTTAACTTGAAGATATGACTTGATAAGTTGCTGATTATAACACACACATAATACTGGAGAGTTTGTTACCAGCCTTGTTTTGTGCGGTATGGAGATGCCATGGAACGTAAAATACATCAACAGCTGGAGAGTAACATTTGTATGTCATAGCGTGATCCTTCATTAATGTCAATAACATGCCTTTATGCGGAGTGACTGGAAGTTCTTCCTTCTTCTGAGGCGGAATCCTCCTTGTGCTCCAGACGCTGCTGCAAATACTCCGAGCTAAGGGATACGCGGGACGATCTCTGGCCACAGTAAGCATGGGTCTGCGGACAGTGCGCAAAAGAATCTCGCTGCCTGACCAGAAGCAGACCAAATCTGATATTACCTTTAGACCACTAAACTTAACAAAAAAAACTAAACAAGACACAACACAACAAGTAAATTTCTAGAAGAGCCCTCCTCGCATCGGTTTCCTCAGTGCTGAGGGTCGTGACCACCTCGTGGGCAGTGTACTACGTATTACTTTCCGCCATCTATTTCTATCTGCCGCCGAGTGGAGAGCATCGTGGACTGTAGTGTTGAGAGTGGTGCGAATCTGATCCGTCCAGCGTATCGGACTTCTGCCTCTAGGTCTCTTTCCTTCCACCTTACCAGTGATCAGTAACTTTTCCAAGTTATCATTGTCCCTTCTGGCAGTGTTTCCAAAACACTCCAAAATCATATGGAAGAGAGCCTAGAAGAGCCACTTAACATTAAACTAACGTACACAACAGTAACAGTTCGTCAATACGTAATTATCTATTTCTTATTCTACTTAATCCGTGTTGTATGGGAGTTGGACTAGACATCGCTATTGGCGCATCTAGCAACAGTTCCGTGGCGCAACTATCATTGGTACGCATCTACGCACACCATTGGCCACAGTGTGGACTGAATACCTCATCTAGGAAACTTAATTGCAATGTGCAATCATCCGAGTAAGATACTCAGGTATTTCAAGGTCAAAGAGAGACATGATATATTATACGTAAAATTTCAATGGAATATTCAATTTTTATTTATTTTTATTTAACTAGCGAATTGTTTGTGGATTTGAATCTTAAAACTAAATTTCTTCTTCACTTCTAATCACAATTGTTTTTCGAATCGATCGATCCCTTAACCAAAAAGTTTTGATTATTTATTATCGCTTGGATATTATATTTATGGCCCAACATTATGTAACGTAAGAATGTAAAGTCCAGACTTCGTGTAGTATTAGGTCATGTATTTGGCTACTGGCCAGTGGAAGAGTCATTTACTGAACGATACCATACTGCTATGGAAGTGGACTGAGAGTATCCGCTGGGTGTCTGTGACGTGTTTGATGCTAAAAGCTAAAGGGTTTTAATCACAATAATAATGAAGGCCTGCAGCAGGAAAAGGAACAGGGTCATTTTTAATAATATGTATATACAGCGAGAGCACATATAAAGCGTGTTATTTTAATTTAAGATCCTTGTAACCTTAACATGCAAATAAAGAATTTGAATTTGAGACGGAATGTCAGATACTTACTAACTGACTGGGAGGAGAAAAGATTTAATGATTTTTAACCTTAAGTGAAAAACAAAAGGATCATTCTAAACACAGCAAAACGGCTGATGATGATAATTTTAATGACTGGGAAGCTGAGTTTATACAAACATTACTCTATCTCTGCTTACCCCTTCAGGAAACTAACAGCGTCAAGCTTTTCAAACTTACTTTATCACCAATGTTACTTTTCTGTCGAAAATAATGGACTCCTCATTATTTCCACGTCACTTATAACGAAGTTCATATTAAATTTATTATCGAAGTTACTAATTAAAATAACTCCCTACGTATAGCCTGCTTACCTCGACAGTCGAGGAAGGATGAAGTTAATCACATAGCTTGAACACATGAAACGTTTAACTAGTTTTTTTAATCAACTCTCATTTACCTTCAGCATCAGAAAATAAGCTGTTACTAAATGACTTAAAGTTAATAATTTTGTATTTCTTAAACTCTATTATGCCTGGTCGCGTTAAGAAATAGCTGTTGTTAAAATAATACGAGTACATAATGTTTAACATACATTCAGCTTCCTTTTAACTTGCGCGAGATTGAAAAATATATGCACATTGTAAGGAACCTGTTATCCTTCATATCCTACTAAAAATTGTAACATCGGGTTTTTGAGTGGTAAATCATCAAATGACATCTCTTACGCAGGATGAGACGAGACGGGGTGTCAACTCCAGACACTGAAGTGTGGGAGAGCCATGTTTCGGCGCAAATAGGTTGCATCGACCGGAGTGATACCACGGCCTCACAGAAAACCGGCGTGAAATAACACTTTGTTGTGTTTGAGTGTGTGTCTGAGTAAGGTTACCGGAGGCCCAATCCTTCCCCTCCCCCAATACCTAAATCACCAAATCTCTCTGTTGTTGCGGGTGTCAATGGCCGGCGCTGATTGCTTACCATCAGGTGATCCGTCTGCTCGTTTGCCGACCTATCACAAAAAAAAGCCCGGGCCGAGGTACCATAATAAGCACGGGTAATGTTACTTCTAAGTTTTCTTTTTTTATCAGAAAAGGCGGCAAATGACCATGCGGATTATCTGATGGTAAGCAATCGCTCGTGAATACCCGCAACGAACAAGGAATTACGGGTGCGTTGTCGACCTTTCGAAATTTAGGGTTTCACACGGCGAAACACAACGCTGTAGTAGTTATACCTTAGTTTTCTGTGAAGCAGTGGTATCACTCCGGTCGATACTAGATAAATACTTAAATACCTACATTGAAATACCACAAATGTTAATCTAAAACTACAATCAATCAAAAACAGTAAATAATACGAGATGACATAACAGTGACGTCACAAAATGGCTGACCAGTAGCCCGGTGACAGCTGACCCTTTATTTCACAATTTAAGGTGTGATGTATTACAAAGGTGAGAAAAAAGAATGTATAGATTACTGTGACCTCTGCATGACCCCAACGTATAATATTGTATATGTTATGGTATGGCGCTTACCCTCTGAACCTCAGTAGATAGACATCGAGTGTGGGACAGCCATGCTAGGCATGAATGGACCTCACAGGAAACAAGCGTGAAGCAAAGCTTGCTTTACGTTTTGCCGCGTGTGTGAGGTTACCGGACCTCCAACCCTTTGCTTCACGGTTGCGGGGTAAGCGCAATGAGGCACCGCAACCTCGGCCCAGAGCAGGAGAAGGAACAGGGAGTTTTTTAGTCAGTAAGAGTCTGACACTCCCTCCCGCCTTCCCTCGGCCCTGGGCGGGAGAAGTAATTTGATGATTTTCCCCTCACAAAAAAAAACCCTTTGCCTCACCCTCCCTAATCCCTAATTAACCAACCCTCAAGCCTCTAACACTCAAAGGGTTGGCAACACCTTCGTAACTCCTCTAAAATACGGTAAAATCATATATTCTGATGGCTGGTCCGTGTCTACGTCACCGATTGCTTACCATCAGTTAATCCGCCACTAATTTGCACAAAAATAACAAAATCAGAAAAAAATAATATTCATACGCATGTTCAAGACAGTCTACGGCTGGACCACTACACTACACTACTGATACACTTAAACCTCGTTTACACACAAAAACTCCGCTATAATCACTATAATAGGAAGGGAGTGGGAGATAACTTGTTAAAAGGAAGACTGTTTCTGAGAGGGTCCTACTGTTTCTCTGTATTCCCTTATGCCACTTGATTTTTTTTTCAAGATGTCTCATCATACGGCTATATCATAAAAATTACAACCTAGCTTAAATGCTAATGAGTAATTCAATTTCACCTTAATTTGCTAGGAGAGTGTACAATATTTATTTATTTATTTCTTTGGAAAACGTTGCCCTACATTAGGATTTCTCCTGCGTCGTGAGTGCGGTTACAAACATACAATTTCGCGTACACATAACACCTAGACCCGGAACAACAATTTGTGGATCACGCAAAGAGTTGTTCCGTGCGGGAATCGAACCCGCGTCACGTTGCACGGTAGCCAGTTGCCCAGCCACCGGACCAACTGTGCAGTCAGTCACCAACAATAGGTATTATACTATAATAATAGGAAGACAAGTTGTGGCCACAAATACATTTGCCTCCCACCACATAACTCTCTTGTACTCATCACCAACCACCATACACACGTTAAACTCAAACATCAAGTATTTGATTCTAAACCTCAAGTTTGTATGAACAACCTTAAGATCACTTTCCCATGCGGTCACCCCGTCATAGATATTCGCACTAGTGATGTGACAAGTAAACACTGCTTACGTCATTCTTGCGCCACTGCGGCGCACGCGCATCGTATTACCCTACTGAACGCATTGAGGCTAGCATTAGTTTAATGTGCTAAACATTATTTGTTTTGTTATGAGTAGGTAAATTGTTTTATTTCTATATTTCCGTTGTGGAAAGCTAATGTTTTATCAGTTCATTCAAAATCCAATATCCGAACTAATATTATAAATGCGAAATTAACTCTGTCTGTCTTTTTTCACCCCTAAACTACTGAATTTCTGTGATATTTGAACTTCAGAAAGGACATAAGATAGTTTTTATACCAATTTGCAAAAAGGCACTATTCCACACAAACGAAGTCGCGGGCAAAAGCTAGTTAATTACATTTAAGTTTCTTTATTCTTTAAGAATTGCATATTCTTTTGAGCTTGGGGTTAACAATGCATCGTGGCCGCAGATCGGAGCCGTAAAATGAACGGGGTGGTTTTAAGTCAGCGAGAGCCTTACACTCCTCTTAAACCAACCAGGGCAAAATCTTTGAATGATTTAAGAAAATGTTCTAATGAGCTCAGGTTCCAGACACAGATTTGGACAAAAATATTCCAGCAGTATACTGAGAAGAATGTTGTAAGCTAATAAGCTCGTTCCAGTAAGAACTCTAGCTAACTCTATATTTATATTTTCGAGAAATGAAGAATGCTTTATTACAATTGGAATTATACACATTGATGAACAACTAACATGCATATTACTATGTAAAATTTTAGAGGTTAATAATATGACTAAATAAACCAACGTGACGAGCAAAAAAAACTGTAACACTAAATCTACTTTAGAACTAGATTATTTCATCTTAAACTGTAGACACACTTCTCCGGGTGGTACTTGAAAGTGTGATACATCCTAATTGCATATAATTACATATAACTCACATGACTAAAGACAGGCCAGACCACTTACATTATGTTGGAAATAATAAAATTAATGCAACGAACCACTCTCAAAAATCCATTTAGATTTCTTCTACATTGTGAGCATTAACAAATCCATTTTGGCCTCTAGCTAGAACTGTCAAACATAACATAATAAGCGGGTGTGTCAAACCCATCGCTCATAAAATTAAATATCTTGTCATATGCCACGGGTCCCCGCCCACAGAGGTCGCTAAAGGTCACTAAACAATGACCAGCCTTCGCATTGATTTCTCCGTTTAGCGTTCTACTTTATAAACAAGATGTTGACTCTGAAAATCTGAAGGTTTTTACCTTTAAAGCTAATTTCAGGGTTATATTTTTAACCTTTGGGTTTCTCCGAGTCAGTTTATGTAACATGACTCACACTAAAACTATAAAACCGAGTGAATTACTTAGTGTTAAATATGTTGGTCATCAATTTATTAATCTCTATATCATACAGAAAAAGTTTTTGGGCTAGTCGTATATAATTGTCTA